GATATTTTATTTGCATAGCTTTCATTTGAAAATATCATTGGCTATTCCAACATAGATCAAATTATATTATAATGAAATTTTAATGGATTTAATGATTCGAGTTACCATTATTTATTTCTTGTGTGAATTTTCTTTTTGGGAACATATCAATGAAAGTTGCATTGGAAAGCTAATTGCAGTGATAGATACAGACAATTTCATATTGGGGGTACTATTTAGCTAATAGAAAAAATATATCATCAAAATAACATAATGTCATTACAATATTTAAATTTTACTTTTCAAAATTTGTCATCTTTCTCATCTGTAATACATGTTTACAAATCTTTACAGTTACAATAAGTTAAAAGTATTCAAAAAAAATATAATTTTTCTCAACTAAAAGTAAGCAAATCATTGAAAAATATATATCTTTTAAAATCTGATGAACAAAAAATTTATGTTGTAGTATAGATGACTCGACAATTTTGTTGATGAATTTATAAATTATGACTAATTGATTATAATATTAATGAGAAAATTATAATTGTATATAATATAATATTAAGATATATAAATAGATTATATATTAACACATATGACCAAAATAATATATTCTTTAAAAATCTTATGAACAAAAAATCTATGTGGTAGTATAGTTGACTCGACAATATTGTTAATTAATTTATAAAATATGAATAATTGATTATAATATTAAAGAGAAAACTGTAATTGTATATAATATAATATTAAGATATACAAATAATTGATATATTAACACATATGACCGAAAAAGTTCTATACATAATATTATGTATTTTTAAGCAAATACAAAATTTAAAAACATATGAAAGAACAATATAAAATAAAAAAAAATATTAAATTTGACAAATGATATTAAAAATTACTAAGTTGTAATACGTACTAATAAATATTAAAAAATAATAAATTAATATGTTATAATTAATAAAAGTAAACATAAACCTTTTAAAACTTATATTTATCAATGTAAACGAGCAGGGTTGTTAAATGCTTGTTAATTTTTGTACTTATTAATTCTATATGTAACTTTTAGGTGATATACAATAGTTATTTTTACCTTTATCCATGTAGGTTAGGAAAAAAAAAGCACTTGATTATTCTAATTTTAAATTACTATTTATTTTCTATTAGCTTCTTACATAATATATATATATATATATATATATCATATTAAATATATAAATAATAATTACTTTAATATGTAATAAATGTAACTCAATTGGGAATTTATTAGGTAATCTTGAGATAAAATAATGAGTTACTTTAAAAAAATTATATGGATTAAAAGGTTCATGTGTTTAATGTATGTTATTAGAAAAATTGTAAACACAGTTACTCAACAACTACTACCTAAAATATAATGTTTAAGAAGGAATACAAAAAAAAGATTGGTATATTGCAATGAAAAATGCATCTGTAAGATATTCCAAAGAAAATTCCAACGGATATTTCATTGGTAAAGCTTTTATTGGAAAATTTCATTAACTATTCCAACAGAGAACAAATTAAATTACATTGAAAATTTTGTGAATTAAATCATTCCAATTACTATAATTTATTATTGTTTGAATCTTTGTTGAATTTTTTTACGGATCGTATTTCAACCGTTGAAAAAACTGTCATTGAAATTGTAAAAAAAATAATAGAAGTTCTATTGAAAAACTAATTGCAGTGGCGGATCCAAAATAATTTTATATGGGGCACTATATAGTTAATAGAAAAAGTATACCATCAAAATAACATAATATCATTACAATTTATAAATTATACTTTACATAATTTGTCATGTTTCTAACTTGTAATACATTCTAACACATCAGTACAGTCACAATAAGTTAAAAAGAGGTTAAACTCGGCAATATAATTGATTAATTTATAAATTACGAATATATAACTAGAATTCCCCTTGCATTAGTTATAAAAGACATTAAAAATATATTTTGAAGATATAGAAAAAAAATATGTTGCAAAAGAGAGATTTGAAACTGTCATCAAGATTGATCTAATATAATTAGAGAATAAAATTGTAATTTTGAGATATATTATATTTTCTTTAGTTGTGATGCCGCGTTTATGTTATAACATTAATAAAGTTATGAGTTGAGTTAAGTTATAATTGGTTGAGTTGTGAATTAATTCATTATGTATCTTTCTTTCTTTCAATTTCATTTTTAAAATAGGAGACAGGATAAAAATTATGAAAAAATGTTCCCACAAATTTTTATTAGATTCCTTACGCTATATGCTTTAGGATGGAGAGTTGTGTCGAATCTATAAAATAAACATAGATCTGCTCATGATTCCAATAAAATATTTTTGCTAGAATTAGATTCCTTGTGACATATTTTTCTTACATAGATCCGAAAATTCATACTAAGACAAAACAAAAAATGGATGTAAATATACAACTATCACCAATATTAACTATGTGAATTAAAAGGAGAAATAAACGAGTTGTATGTGAAATTTTATTCAACTAACACATAAATTCAATGAGTATGAAAATGAGTTAGTTGCTTAATATTTTTCTCAAACATTGGGAAAAAATTCTAAACTTTTTAATCTAATAATCAGTATAAAAGTACATTTTTTTATTAAATATATTATTATTATAAATATATAAATAAGTAATATTAAATTTTATTTTATCTTATGTGATTATATTAGTTGTTGTCTAATAAATAAGATATTTTGATAACAATGTCATTATATGAAACACGTACAAAAAATGATGCAATACATATAAATGTGCTAGAATTCGTTTGATAAATAAAGTATTTATCAATAGAAATAAAAACTAATAAAATAATAGTAATGGAATTGAAAAAAGAAAACGTCTGAATTTTCTTAGACAAGTATGAATACCAATATTTAGAAACAAAAAATATTTTAAAAATAATACTTTATTTGTTGCTAGCGTTTAAATATATGGACTCTGTAAGAAATTGGATCTCATAAATAATGATCCTATATTATCAATTTTTAATTTTAAATAATTAAAAATTTAAAACTTTATAATACATAATGTAGATTTTAATAATGATTTCGTAATAATAACGTTCAAAGATGACTAAGTGTCATAAAATAGAATTTTAATTCTTCTCATCTCAAATATTTTAACAAATGATATGCTTCTCAATGTTGTCTCATTGTTTTGTTTTGTTTGATTTTGTCATTGGTGAAGAATCAAGAAAGGAACTTTATCTCGAGTTTTTTTTAGTATTATGTATGATGCATAAAGTTGGACGATAAAAGCATTAAAAAGTTATTGGAGACATAAATATTACAAATCCAAACGAATGTGAAAGATATGAAGATAAATAATTCTAAAATCATTGCAAGAACTAGATTGTCAATGATTTGCAAACAATAGATTATATAGTTCGCCTATCTTCCAAATAAATGACATTAAAAATGAAACGTTGGAGCCTGATCAAAACATTTTTGAATGTTTGAATGAAGTTGACACTTCTTATAGGAATATTTGTAATTCATTGGTGTATTGTGCTTGAACATATGTGCAATTATTTTATGGTATGAACTTTTAGTTAATGTGTGATGATTTAAAAAAAAAAACCTCGGGAAAAGTACGTGTAATAGATATTTTGAATAGTCAACTTTTATTTAGAGATGAAATTCATTCCTTTCCGTAGGGAGATAGATCCATGGGGTAGGTATCAATAATTTGTCGATATATATAGAGAGAGTAATTTAATAATTTATACAATGATAAAAAAATAATCAACAATTTTAATGACACGATTTATTATTTTGCAGATATATTCATGCATGGTTAGTAGAAATATAAAGATAATACAACCATGAAGTTTCACTATATATTTGGTTAGAATATTTCTTAAGTGTTTGAATAAAGTAGACGTTTTGCCAAATGAATTAAGATGAATTTTGCAATACTATTGAATCAATAATGCTTCTTATGAGGACGTCAAAACCAAAACGAAAGAGAACGCTATCGAACCATCTAACATAAACAAATAAAAGAACTAATGCATGTATAATATATATTAGTCATTATTTAGTTATTTAGTGTTTTTGTTGGGGTTGTAATATGTTATTTACTTATTTTTATATTAGGACATCGTTAAGTTATTTTAGAAAAAATAATTTGTTTCTATATTTTGTTTCATTAATTTGTTCTACATTTTGTTTCATTCTTGCAAGGATATATTTAATAAATTAATTTTTTATTTTACAAAACTTAATCGGCAAAAAGCGATTACATTATGAGCTCATTTGTTCTACGTTTTATTTCATTCTTGCAACGATATTTTTAAAAAATTAATTAATTTATTTTACTAAACTTAATTGGGAAAATACATTCGCCACCACGTGCATCGCACGTGCACTTTACTAGTTGATTAAAAACCATAAGTTTCTCTTATTCGGCTAAATGGTATCTATATATGGGCCAAGTACAAGTGACATGAGTAAGTTCGCACAACACTTGAGTGATTTCAATAAAATCTTTCTTTATGCACAGAGCATGCTATGAAAACATGATGCTTCGATTAGCTTAACAAAAATCACAAGATCCGAGTATAAGCTTAATTGAACCTTGTGGGCGTTAGTTATATTATTATGATCGCCACCAGTTAACAAATTCTAATCCTTCTGACTTTGAAATTATTAGTAAATGATGATTAGATAGATAGCACAGGTCTTTGTCCATTACATTATTAGCTATAGTCAGAAGTTTTTGAGTTTTGTATTCCATCTTTTGACAAAATCAGGGTTTGAATAATGCCAAAAATATTAACCGCCAACTCCAAAGACCAAATCTACGTTCCTGAATGATTTTTCACAAACGAACTAAAGAAAAAAAATCAAAAGAAGCACCAATTTTCCTTAATAGTTATTACAATAACAATGTCAGCAACGCGTTTTAACAATCAGCAGTGACCAGATTAAATTCAAACACACACACACACACGCTCATCCTGCTCCCTATAAATTCAGCACCCAAATTGCCCTACTTCTCAATCAACTTCATCTCCAAGTAAATTGACTTTAGCATTACTTCTGTCTTTTTAGTTAAAAAATATAAATAATACTAATAACAAGCAATTTCGCTTTTCAATATTGTCTCAACAAGGGCACCACGAAAGCCAGCAACTTTGTCCTAACCCTAACAACAATCTCACTACTCATCTCCACTACCCCATCACAAGCCCAGCTGTCCCCCACTTTCTACGCCCGTACATGTCCCAATGCACTCGGAACAATCCGTACTTCCATCCGGCAGGCGGTTGCCCGTGAGCGCCGCATGGCTGCCTCTCTTATCCGCCTTCATTTTCACGACTGCTTTGTACAAGGCTGCGACGCTTCAATCCTTCTGGACGACTCCCCCACAATCCAAAGCGAGAAATCGGCCGGCCCAAATGCCAATTCCGCCAGAGGGTTTGATGTGATTGAGGCTGCCAAGACAGCAGTCGAGCGTATTTGCCCGGGAGTCGTCTCGTGCGCAGACATTTTAGCCGTGGCTGCATGTGATGCCCCAGTCGCTGTAAGTATATATATATATATATATATATATATATATATGTATCTATTATGTTATTTGCTCCTAGGTGAATTGAAACAGTGTGTGTATTAACGATAACTTGTTAATGAATAGGTTGGAGGGCCATCATGGCCGGTGAGAGTTGGGAGACGGGATTCTACCACTGCCAACTTCAATGCAGCAAACACAGATTTGCCGGACCTTTTTCTAGTGCACAAGACCTCATTACAGCCTTCCGCAACAAGGGGCTCAGTCAGACAAACATGGTTGCCCTCTCAGGTATGTATGCTAAGAAAATAATAATATTATGGAAAATGCTAAAGTCCCGTAATTGGACCACGGCTTTGCTATGGAGTCATCGGATGGCTTGGCTTATGGAGTCATCCATAGTTTTCTTCACAAATGATGTATTAACACGTGTCCTGTAACAAATACACATTGAACATCTGCCAGTACATAAAGTTATGTATGGCTCCATAGAATTTCTGATCAAGCTAAAACATCCAATGATTAATATTAAGTGAACGAAATCATACCGTGGCAGGACTGTAGTCATCCCCAATGAAACGTATATTTGTCACGGAGTGCGCTAATAGTAGTACGAACTAAGACAATAATTGTAAAATGCGGAAGCAATCAAACCGAAGATTAATAAACTCTTCAGGGAAGCATCCCACTTCCCCTCAGAGCTCTTTCATTGATAGATCACTCATGAACATAGTTTGGTCTTACAAAGACTTGAACTCCCTTCAAATCTAGCCAACACTACTCTCGATCCTATCAACTAATTCTCCGGCCACGTCCCGTGGACTTATAAGACAACACTTACTCCCTAAGTGTATAAACTGTAGAAGCGTTTTGATGAATGAACAAAAACTGAATAAAAAGCAGCTTCAGTCCTTGAGTATGTAGGAACTCTCAGACTGAACTGAATACAACTTGAACAGAATATAAAACGAAGCTTTTAATTGCTCTGAGAAAATATCTTTCTAAACATATGCGCACGCAGGAAGCTTCTTCCAGGGTATATATATGAACTCCTTTTAGGGTTGAAGTCTTCTACAAGGCATAGGACTTTAAACAAGATTTCCTTCCAAAGGTGTAGTATCTTTGGCAAGAAAATCTTCTACTCTCTCTCTTTGATCTTCTCACCATACACGGCTCTTCACTTCCTCTTCTTTATCTCTTCACGTCCAATTCCCTATATTATCCAAAACCATAATAAGATCTACACAAACTTATTCATGGAATATAAAATAAGATTACTTAAGGAAATATAATATGTAAAGATCTCCCCTTTATTCTGTGGTTCCAGGTGCTTGTTCGAACTAACGAACTAATGCCAAAATAAAATATCTTTCAATCTCCCCCTTTGGCATCTAGTTCGAAAACATCAGACTTGAAAGTCTCCTAAAGAAATAAAAACAACAAGCACCAGCAGATAAACTCATGCAAGGGTTAGATCAATACATCACAAATCTGTGTTTAAAACAGTTCTCCCCTTTAGTTCCTGCAGTCAACAAAACTCAACAGAATGATTCTAAATTCGATTCAATCAAAATAAGTCGATATCAAAGTCAGCAAAACAACTGCATTAATCCCATTTAGAATAAAAAAAACTTAGTAGCAAACAGCAAATAACCAACCACATAGAAAACCTCCCTACAACCCTCAAAACACACAAAGAAATCAAAAACTAAAGGCTAACTACTCTTCATCTTCAAGCTTCTCAGTAACCTCATCAGACTCCTCATCATCTTTGCCATCGCTTTTACCAGCAACCTTCTCCCCCTTTTTCGAACTACGGGATGCCGAAGGGCCTGTCCCCGAGGTAGTACGATTCAATCCCTTGACAGCCTGCAGCACTTGACGAAGGTAGGCCTGCTGAGCGGCGACCTTCTTGGCCAAATCATCCCACTCTCCAAGTTGCTGAGCCACGAACTCACCCCAATTCTTAGGCACCAAGGAAGGAGCCAGCTCCCTCGTGACCTTGGAAATCCCTTTCTCATTCAGAGTACGAGCACTGACAGTGAGTTCCTTTCTGGGGTTCTCGAGAGAGTCTTGGAAGCGGAGATTAACAGAGAAATTATGGGCAGCCAAAAAGGACCAAATAAGACAAAGAAAAGGAAGGGTTTTTCGAGACTCAATATTAGCGACAAAGGATTGAAGAATTTGGAAGAAAAGATCCCCAAAACTGAAAACCTTCCCAATCATGACCCAATAAATGACTTTGCTCTGCAGCTCGGTAAGCAAAGTTTTATTAGAAGTAGGGGTCCAGTTACCAGCACCAATTTTATGCAACAGATTAGCAACTAAGCAGAGAGAATTCACAGAGAGGTTAGAACCAGGCCAAGTATCCAACTGACCAGAAGTAAGAACTTTGGTCATTTCATCCAAATCAACATCAGAGAGGGAAGAGTTATCAAGATCAGAGGGCAAACCAAGATGGGCATTAAACAAAGCAGGAGATACATCAATCACATGGTTGCGAAGAAATAGTTTATGAAAACGAGGGCTATCAGGATCAAAAACAGCAGGGGTGAGATTAGCATAGAACTCTTTGACAGCTTGGCCACAGAAGGGCTGAACATCAGACACAGTTTTAGAGAGACCGACTTGCTCGATCAAACGAAGGACACCAAGATCAGCAAACTTACCGTCTGTCACAGGATGTTCTGACCAGAACTCATAAGATCCGAAACTCACAAAGCGTTCATGAGCCGCCTCTGTATAGAACCGATTGGTGAAAGTATTCTCAAGGTCATATGCATCATCCTCAGGTTCAGGAGGGACAAGAGGTTCATCGATGGACTTCCCACGGCGGCGAGTGGAACGGCGGACTGGAACCTTTGGAGGAGGAGATGGCTGATCAGAATGAACTTCAACTGCTGTAGCCGCAGTATCATCTTTCTCACCCTCGGTGGTCGTTGTCTTGGTGATAGACTTGGTTGCAGAAGCGGGAATAGCAGACGACTCCCCCTGAGTTGGGACGGCAAGAGGTTCATCAAACCCAGAGAGTCCAGGAACGCCAGTGGCCAGCGGTGAGAGTTCAAGGTTCTTGCGGACGCTGCCAGACTTCGACTGAGAACCAGACGGGGAAGAGGAGAGAGAAACCGACTTAGTCGAAGGTGAAGATTCAGGGGTCGGCTCTTTTGCTGGTGGTGATGGTTCACGAACAGTACCAGTGGACAATGAAAGACGGCGGCGCTTGAGTCGCTTTTCTTTCTGCTTCTGAAGCCGCCTCTTGGATTTGTCTTTTCCGCCAGCCATGGGAGAAGAATGAAGATTGAAAAGGGGAAATTAGGGTTTCAATCGGTGTACAGTTGAGCGAGGGAGAGAGAAGAAAAGAGAGAGGAAAGAAATGTAAAAAGAAAAGATACGTGTGGTCATAAGAAACCGCAAAAGGTAGTTTCCGAAAATCAAGAAGGTATTGTGGGCGGTTTTAGGAGAGAGAGAAAGAAGGGTAGGATAAATTCAAAAAATACAATTAGTGAAACTAATCCCTCCGATAATTCAAAATTCAAACATACCATAACTTCCCACATCAATAAGGGCTCGCATTATGTTGAAATTTAGGAAAGAAATCAGATTTTATCCTTGAATACGTCCTCCACAAACACTTGGGTCTTGTTCTAAAAGGAAATCATATGCAAGAATGCCTAAGGATGAAAAGGAATAAAAATCGCACACAAAAATGCACTAAAATCATAAAATCTTTTCCTTCCCAACTTAAACAAGATTGACAGTACCAATCGGAGACCAGCTATGAGATTCAAACTTCCTGAGGAACATACGGTAAACGGATATATGAATATACACAGTGTAGTGCGAACCACAACTTCCAACATAATTTTTTTTTTTTTTTTCGAAAGAACACATGCGGTATTATTCATAGTGCATTTCACTTAGTAACAATCACTGCAATAGTGAAAGTCGACCCCACTACTTTGCATCCCTTCTCAACATTTTCTGTCCAAGACGCTCTTTTCACAGTCGATCCCGCTTTGGGAAACGAGCCATGTGTTAGCTATCGCTCTAGATCATTTATGAGAAGGCAGCTCTTTTTGACAAAAAGAAACAAAAATACTGAAAGTAATTTTGTTCCTCAGTCTAGAAAGAACTCGAAACCAGCCAAGAACTGGTAGCATCACTCAGGTTTTCAGGAGAGTCAGAACATCAATTAAGAATTTAGTGGTGAACAATATGCATAATGCAGAACATGCCTAATGCCATATACCCTATATGCTTACACACAATGCAGATATAATATATACTAGTATACAATATAATATAATATAATGCAAATACACGCAAGCATTCAGTATGAACAAATCCCTAAGGATTTCCTTAGAGAAGTGAACCTTTGAGAATCCAGTGCTTTAGTGAATATGTCAGCCAGCTGGTTTTGTGTAGGAACATGCTCAAGAACAATCACATCATTCTCAACTAAATCTCTAATAAAGTGATACCGAATATCTATGTGTTTAGTCCTAGAATGCTGAACCGGATTTTTAGAGATATTAATTGCACTGGTGTTGTCACAAAAAAGGTTCACGGTTCTTACCTCAAGGCCAAACTCAATCATCATTTGCTTCATCCACACGAGCTGGGAACAACAGCTTCCAGCGGAGATATATTCGGCTTCAGCGGTGGAGAGTGATACACAGTTTTGCTTGTTACTTAGCCAGGAAATGAGATTATTCCCAATATAGAAACAGCCACCAGAGGTACTTCGTCGATCATCGACGTTTCCTGCCCAATCCGCATCACTATAACCTGCAAGACTAGAAGATGTGTCACGCGAGTACAAGATACCTAAGTCAAAAGTACCATGCACATATTTAATGATGTGCTTTACCGCCTTTAAATGCGATTCCTTAGGATTTGCTTGGTACCTGGCACACATACCAACACTGAAGCACAAATCAGGTCTACTGGCAGTCAAATAAAGCAAGCTACCTATCATGCTTCTATAAAGCGTAGAGTCAACAGAGGTTCCAGCATCATCCTTAGAGAGCTTAGAATGGCTTCCCATGGGAGTAGCTGGACACTTAGAATTTTCTAACCCAAACTTCCTCACAAGATTTTTTGCATATTTGGACTGATGAAGAAAAATCCCCTCTTTGGATTGCTTGACTTGCAAACCCAAGAAATAGGACATTTCTCCGACCATACTCATCTCAAATTCTCTAGACATGTGGCTGACAAACTCATTTACCCAAGTTCTCGAGGTAGAACCAAAGATAATATCATCTACATATATCTGTGCAATGATAATATCTTTATTAGATTTACGAACAAACAGAGTTTTATCAACTCCCCCTCGAGAATAGCCCATCTCGACCAAAAACTGAGTTAGGCGTTCGTACCAGGCACGCGGCGCCTGTTTCAGCCCATACAATGCCTTCTTTAGCCTATAAACATGGTC